GGCTGCTTCTCCCAAATACAATATGAATGCTAGGTATCTGGAGCGGCACCCCTCGCAAACAGCAGATCGATGCAGTTCTGGCAGTAGTAGTATGTAGCCATCTCTGCTCAGCCGCTCCCCTTCTCTCACAGAAAGATAAAAACAGTAGCTGCGGTTCCTGGCATGTGCTTTTAACAACAAATTTGGGAGAAAGCGTTCTGCTACTGGAGCGGAATTTGCAGTGCGTTATTTCTTTCTTACAAAAAGAGAGCTGATGGAAGCGTTCTGTCAGATAGTCAGTGTTATCATGTACCTGGAGAAAGGAGATCTGTTCTTTCGATTCTTAGTGTAGGTCTGCTTGTAATTTGTTTATAAGATAGGCCAGCAGAAAAGCAGTAGAATGACCAGATCACAGTGATGGTGCTTCATTTGGATATAGTGAGCTAAAAACTGACTTCAGCCACCCTTTTGCCTTTAGTCCTACAATGCTATTTTTACTAAACATTGTCTGATTGCTGTTCAGGAACCACTTCTTTAATTAATTGATCCCCCCCCCCCAGTAGATTTGGACATGTCCATTGCCACACTTTTTAAAGTAATACTCTCCTGTTCCGATCTGCTTCAGAAGTGGGTCTATAGTTATGGATGGAACAGCATCAAGTCTAAAGTCCATGTTGAGGCTATTCAATGACGTATCAGGGTCAAGTGACTATAATGCTATAATTCACAGTTTTTGAGGAGTTACGAATGTTTCATGTCTGTTTTGTCAGCCTGTTTCAATTAATATAATTAATTAACATTATATTAATATGCTTATGAACACAATGCTTTTACACCAAACTCTATTTATGGTTCAGCAATCAGCCCATTGATCCCTAATCTATTTCCTTGTTGGAAAATGTGTATCATAAATGACCTAACCAAGTTTTGAAAACTTAATGTATTTTCAATGGATTTCCAGGAGATATCAGCTGCTCCTCTGCAAAGTGATGATTTTTAATAATCGGAGATAACCATGTCTGCTTTATAGTGTGGAGATTAAAATTTGAAGCAATCAGTACTATGTCCATCTGTGAACAAAGCCCAAAGCCCAGTCCGAAATTTCAGTCCTTCGATGTCAGTTAATTTGCTTAGGCAATCCTAGTAAGACTACATGCTTTGGTAAAGTTACTCAGAAGTTATGCAGTACTGACTTCTCTTGTTTTACCTTTACCCTATTCTCAAGCTTGTGTAAAACCTTGGAGGCAAAGGGTTGCTGAAATCTTAATGTGGCATTTTTTGCATACTGCACACCCAGTGCAGCTGAACAGTTGGACCAGAAGCTTTTGTCTATAAGGCAGGTGTTCCCTAATGGGTTTGCTGTCAGGATCAGCAAAAAATGTAAGTAACTTTAACTAATAATGTGGTTACAAAGGCTATTACACCTAATTTGAGAAAGCAACCTTCATGAGCTTGTTTGACACAACAATTTCAGAGGTGACTACGTAAACGAGGGTTAGACTGGTGGAATGAATGGAGACAGGCAGGGCAGTGTGTGATGTACCCCCTTGCTAGCTGGACATGCTTTCCTGTGCCTTCTAGTAATTCTCTGGCTCTATTTCCAGAGGCGATACATTTCAGAATTACCTTTCCAGAATTTATAACTTGCTGGCACTCTATTTTGTCTGAAAGCAGAATTCTCCACACCCTCACACACATAACCAAAGAGAGGTATCGTCCTGTTCCCTGGTCTCTTCATTATGGCTTTTCCCTGGAGTTAAAAAAACGTAACCAGGAAATGATATGACGGATAACATTTATAACCATTAGAGAAAGTGAGAACCTTCTCTTAATACTCCACCACGAGGAAACTGTGCTGGTGTTAGCTTGGCATTTGAGTGAAACTGATAGAGGGCAGTGAGAAAAAAATAGTGAGGAATGTCTTCTTTTCCAGTATTGTCCATGCATCTCTTGCTAGACCTGACCTGTAGGGACTCACTGTCTGTCCACTTTCAACAAACCAGTAATTTCTATTTATCTAGCAACACCCTGCCCAGCCACTGACTTACCTGTAGCTGAACAAATCGACCTAACCCAACTATACATCTGAAGAACCTAATGTAAAATCTGAACTATAATGTCGCAAGATTTAGAAGTAACTGTTGTTTGCCTGCAGCATAATGTGAGGTTATACTAGCAGCTGTAAATAATTCTACAGAAAGCTTCGCAGAATCGAATAGCTTTCGATCAGTTTCTAGCAGTTTCATCTTCTCCTTCACTAAAGATATATTGGATAAATTAGACTTTAAGTATATGAAACTGAGGAGCACTCTGTTTGACCTAACGTTGTTGCCACAGGTGGCAGTGTCAATTTTAATGTTAAAATCAGTATGCCCATAGTCGGGTCAATGGTGATAACTTAAAAATATTGCCATAAAACATCATTCATGTTAATAACAAACAATCAAAACACATAGAAGATATATAAATACTTAGTGAGAATTGGGATAATTGATTGAATGAAAGCTCTCTAAAGACTGCATTTTCACTAAATCTTTGTTATTTTTTCTTACGACAGTGTTAAAATAATGCGTTGTTTGTGACGAGATTTGTGTAACTTTATACTTTCAGATTCTGTAAGTTTCAGATGCTTTAAATCTAATATTTTTCTTTCGTGGAACGTTAAATGGTGATTGACTGGATAATAAAGGATACATGGGGACTAATAATTACATGGCATCTTTTAACAGGCATTCTTAATAGAGGTTCTTAAATTGTCATTTAAGAACTGTAGATAGGTTTTCATTTTATATCAGTATCTGAAGAAAATCATACCGGTCTTTTTCTTATGTATTCTTTTAGAGCAAATGATGAGGTATTGTGAGAAATGCAGAACTTCGCATCATGGTCAGAAACACCACCTCTATCATTGTGTACTGAATTTTACCATCAAGCTATGAAATTTTAACAGCTAATAAAAAATGTAAAGAAAATTATGCAAAGTAGTAGAGACAAAACATTTATTTAAAAATGGCTAACAAAATTTCACAATCTGATTTATGGTTTTAAATCTAATTTCCATGTTTTTGGTTAGCTTTAGCTTTAGCCTTAACTCACAGTTTTGTCAGTGTGCATTACAGTTCATGAGTCCTTATTGAAAGATCTGTCATATTGTAACGAAAGAGAGACTGCCTTGGAATAATTCTATAAATGAACTGCAAAACCCTTGATTTTTGGCCAGTAATGAGTAATAAGAATGACTTAGATTGGGAGCAATGCCATCTGTCTGAGCAACAATATTCATTTAAAATGCACTGAAGTCATATATGATTATGAAAATGCCAAGTGTGTGGCTTAGTGAATGTGCTTGAAGAGAATTCTTGGGGGGAGAGGAAGAAAGAGGCAGTGCAGGTCTCACTGAGGCAGCTGCATATTGGAAGGGTAATCTTTGGATTAGAAAATAAATTAGAAGAATTCAAAGGAATTTAACAATTTTTGAACCATATCGTAAGGGAGGCTGAGGATTAAGAGCTTATAGGGGAAGAGAAAAACAGAATAGAAGGGGTGCATAAAACTCATAGCTCCATAGAGAAACACATAATCCCCTTCCTGTGTGTTCAAAGGTAGATTCAGTTTATTTTCACTATTCTGTTTTGCACTGTTGGATGGGATGGAATGAAAGAGTAAACATAGAGAAAGAAAGTATGCATTTAAACTAAATGTTAGTTAATTCTGTAGTTGAAAATGTTCATATGTAATTAAAAATACCATGGCCTTTCTTTTTCTCTTTCTCTCTCTAAGGCTATGCATCACTAAATCGTGCAGATGAATCCCTGAAAAAGCCTTGTATTCAAATTGTAACAGTTATATGCAAGGGTGGTAGTGGCATATGCAATTCAGTAGTTCTGCAAAATAGAAACAATTCTATAGGAGATTTTTTTCCCTTACAATACAGTTATCAGAGAAAAGTTGTCTTCTCTGCTGGAATACTTTTCCAAAGCATCAGCCTCTGCTGATGAAGAAATGCAATCGAGCAGACTTATTCTGTTCAATAGCTAACACGTTATTCTGGAAATACTGACCAGAACCATTTTTGTGATTTAAAATCTGAGAGAGGCTGACAGTTGAACTTATACAGTGGGCAGTATTTCTTCTATCAAACTGCTTTTGATAGAAAATTGGATTTTTGATTAAATTGACATCTGCAAGAGGCAATGAAATTTTCTATGTAAAATTTCCAATGCTTAAAACAGAGGAATTGCTGAAAAAGGTACCCGATTGCATAGTAAGAATTATAGTCTTGGACGCTATGTTTCCATTTTGTTCTAGGAGATAGATTTTCTACAACCTGTGGTTCTTTGGGCATATGAGTCAACGTTAAAAGGGAAGAAAACTGGATTGAGGTAGCAGCAAGGTAGTCTAAAATTACTCCTTGTGCTGAAAAGTATTTTGAATATCGTAATGCCATATATCTAGTACTGAGAATAGCCCCAAGTTTTAAAAAATGATTACAATTGCACTAGTCACCTGTTAAAAAACAGATGACCAAATTTCTGTTGTCTCTAAACTTCAAATAAAACAATGGAAAAAAATCACTATCTTTCTAATGTCAGATTTTTAATGAGGCAGAAATGGCGTGATGTCATTGCTCAAGTCTGTGGCCCAGACTGCAGTTTATACAGTCCCATTGCAAAAATACACATGGATCCAATCTCTCAGACCACTTCTCTCTCATTTACCAGAGCTCTTTGATTTCCTTAACTTTGTAGCACTTTCGTATGCAAGCTAATGTAAACTATTATCTCCTTACCCTTCATCTCCTCAACTGACATTGCAGTTCTCTTGGGAAGAACAGATTCTTATATTTTTTGCTTATCCAGAGAATCGTTACTGTTTTCCTGGCAAAATCTCCAGTCTTTCCCCTAATGAAGACTTAAGCCTCTTCTTTGGCATTAGTGAAATCCCATCCAGCTATACTCCAGTACCTCTGTCTATTCCTTACACCAGTTGAAGACACAAAGTCAGTTATTTCCATGTCCTACCTGTTTAGTTCTCGTTTTGGAATCTGGTGACAGATTGTTGTAGGTATAATGGGCCTGTGTGACTCCACAGAAAAGGACTGCAACAATACCTGAAATTCAAAGAAAAACCAGAGTCAGCTGCTTCTCTTTTCTTAGGTTTGTCAAAGGGCTGCATAAAAAAATTAGACTGTTAACAGCATTTTAAAACAAAAGAACTTTAAGGTATGTTTTATAAGAGCCTCTTTCAAACAGAATTTTTTTTCATGACGTTCTTGAATCTCCTACTTGGTCCATTATGTCTTCACAGCATTTCCACCATTGCGTATTTGTCCCAGAAGTGTAGAAATGTTTTTGAATTAATATATGGTAACATCTGACCATAATCTATCTGATAGTTAGGCAAGACTAGCATAATTGTCATATGAGGGACTTCAGACTATTTGAAAATTTTGGCAGAGACCGAATAGGAAAGGGAAAAATAATTTTGTTATATTTAAATGGTTTGAGAGTGCTTGGTACTGAATTACCACAACAGGGAAAATCTGTGCCTGATTGTTAGCCTTATCATAATTAGTGTGTAACAATGTGCAAGATGGGCAGCAACTTCTTGCTTAAAAATGATGCTCTGGCAGGTGCAAGCCGCATTGCTCAGAGTGAGCAGGTCAGTGATGGTGGCTGTGTGGCAGTAGTTACACTTTTCAGCCTGTGTAAGGTCTTGAGGAGCAGGGCAGCAGGTTGGTCAGGAATAATAAAAGATTTGTATTATAGTGATATTTCTTGGTTTTGAATACTTCCTCTCTGGCCCTGGTCCTAACTCACTAGAATCATTAACGTCACTGCAATGCAGTATTATAATTAAAGTTGCTGATAAGATTGTAACTGCAATTTCCTGCCAGCTCTGGACACAGATAAGGCAGAAGGACCCACACAGGGAGAAAACAGAAAACCAAAAATAAGTGTCCAGCAGTAACCGTATGTAAATGCCCACGGAGGAAGTAAGCTCTGTGCTTTTCTTAAACCTGGGGCATGTCTACATAGATAATTATTTACGCAACAGCTAAGGGCTTGTTCATGTCCGTTCCAATCACCGTTGCCCTGAAAACCTCCGCACACGTTTCCTCAAGCATGTGGAGCACACAAGTTCTGCTCGGTTTCTAGATGCAGCCCGCAGGAGCAGCAGCGGCTTTTGGACAAGGCCAGCCCGCAGCGTGGTCGCTGCAGGCCTGTGATCGCCGGGGCTCGCGTGCGGGCGGTTTGCCAGCAGCGACCCGCAGTGCTTTAGTTCTTGTGCCTTTCAGCCCTTCTGCCCCGGCCTCTTGTCTAAGGGCGACAACGTGCCCTGATTAGCACTTTCGTTCTGCTTCCTCGTGGGCTGCTCTGCAAATTGTTAGGTAATTTTGAGCTCATAGGCTGCTGACATACTGAAGTAACACTGATGAATCCAAGGAAACACGTTGAGGCAACAGAGCGAGCAAAAAGATACCTGTCCAGGTTTATGCAACGTCCATCCTTGCAATGTGACTGTGTGGCAGCTTTCTAGGCATTTATTAGGTTAAACTAGCATGAACTGAAATATATAAACCAGTTCTACTGGAAGCAAAATAATCTCAGTCTGTGCCTTTGGTCCTGGACTTGAAACTTGGATCAGGCTTCCTCCAGGATGGTGGCTGTCCTGCATTTACAGAGGCTGGCAGGAGGCTCAGGAAGCGGGCAGAATCTGCGGTGCTGGAGGCTTCAGCACAGCAAACCCAGTATAAGACAATCTCCTACTTCAAAAGGATTTATAGGAGCAGGACAGGCTTCCCACAGTCGCAGGAAAAAGTGGATGGTAATGTACCGAGCAAGTGTCAGGTGAAAGTGCTGGTGCTTCGATACGTTCTTTAACAGGCTTATCCAAACCTCTAAATGTTTGAATTTTAGCAGCAGGAGGGCCCTGGAGGTAGATGAAATATCCTCCTCCCCTAAAGCAAGGTATAGATGAGGAAACATGGGAAAGTAAAAATTTAGACAATGCTGAAACTATTTCATTTGGAGGATTGTGCACGTGTGGGAACAGCACATCGCCACATACCAGTTAAAGTAATTATTACCTTACCATGTCTTTCTCAAGTTTCTGACTCTCTTTGGGTTGCTAGCCATGAAAATATTGTCCAACAAAATCCAACTTTCTTTACTTGCAAGCCTCTCTTGTTTCTGGGTAGAACTAAGGCTTGGCTTTATTATTGCTTTGATGGAAGAAAAAAGTATGGAGTAAAAAATTCTGGATGAATTTGGCACAAGGGATAACTGGTATCAGAAAGAAAATGAGAAAGCAAATCTTTTTTTTCCCCACAAACCACTGTGGATTTTGCTTCTGGGTTCTCTTTATATTGTAAATTTACCTGTACTACTTCTACAGAACACAGACTCTGTAGCCAAGAGAAATTGCACTGAGCTTTAGCTGCTGTGCCTTTGTTTTTTTTAATGTTTACTTTTTTATGTCTGTTTTAATATATATATATATATCTTTCTAACTACACTAAGACTTTTATTTGCAGTAAATAAAAGTACTAGTGTGATTGTCACTGCTTAAATACGTTCCAGGAAGCTCATCCTTTTCTGAGGTTTAATTGTTCTCTTAAATGAGTAAGTCTTTTTTTTCAGTAACTGCATTTGATTGTGCAGAACTGATCAGGGGAGTTTAAAAATTCTCAAGGCATTAATAATATGCAACGGGGTTAAAAAATACAGTGAATCAGTGATGTTTCTAAGTATCACTAGCTCCAGGCTCAGTAATAGAAACGGAGATAAGAGTTTCTGATTCACTTTCTTCTACACGAATCATCATCATGCCAAGTCTTGCATTTTTAAAATTGATTATTAAATTCAACTATGATTATAAAATGTTTTTTGACTGCTAAGAAACTGTTAATTATGGGTAGTGAGAGAACCAAGAGAGTGACATGAGTAATAAAATGGCCTAAATCTGATTTTACAATAGGAATAAATGATCTGAACCATGCAATTATGCAGATATCCTGTTTCCAGGGAAGACTGGGGGAATGCAGTGGAATATTTCAATCGCTACAATTGAAGGCATAATATGTACCAGCCATGCATCTCACAATGAATGCTTAATTAATAAGCCTGAAGAAAATAGTTTGTAATGCATTTCCATAAAAATGTTTATTTAAGTGTAATGACCAGTTACATGTTAATGTAACTACAAAGGAAACAGACGTACCTAAAGAGGGAAACACAGAACTTTTTAGTTAGAAGTAAAAAGCAATCTGGATTTCTTTGTAAGACTCTGAAAGCCAGATTTTGAAGTTAGCAGGATAGCAAAATACTGTATGAATTTATGTGTATGGCACATAAATTAGGTTGTCAAATTTTTCAGGCTTTCTTTCACAGAGGCATGGGTAAGACCAAATATGATAATACTGGAAGTGTAAACAGAAAGTATTTATTAGATGCAGGGAGGCAGATAAAGTGAGATGGTCCTTTTGCCAGCCCTTGGTGCTCACTGCTTTATTTTTGAGGTGTTGGAGACTCAGCTTGCTTTTTCAATGCCGCTCATTGTTTCATTTTTAAGTGGCAAATTTAGCAATTACTGAGATACTTAGTATTAGGATTGCTGAACAAAATGCTAACCTAAAGTAAACAGGGAATGTTTTGAGTTTAAATGGGTGATCCGTTGTTAAGTGCAATACAATGTCTATAAATAAAGTTATGGAAATTTTTCACTTAGTATGAAAAATGAGAAACCTCACAGTAAAATGTTGACAGTCACTAGTAAAGTTTCAGCTGCAGCTCAACCTCTTTGAAGAGGTTTTATTAGAAATAAAAGCCTACAATTTTATTTTATTTTTTTGGTCCTTATATAACAGAGAAATACTGATAGCTTGTTAGCTGCTCATACAATTAGAGAACTTATTCTTACATTAGTTTTACTGAATACTTGTAGTTGAAATCTTTGCTAGAATAAGAGCTAGTAACATCAAAAGATAATATAGGATAAAGGAGTAACATATCTTTAAAAGTATTTTGCTGATGGTGTGAAGATTAACATGATAGGATGAGCATTAATTTATAAGTGTTAATCTAAAAATAATTCCTATATTGTCACTGAAAAACAAAATCTTTCTTTGGATCATTTCACAAATAGACAAAAGGAAAGGTACCCGGGCTTTTCAATATCTAGTGTTAAGAGAAAAACTGGAAAAAAAGTACATCTGTTGTCAGAGAAGGGCAGCATGTGTAGTGTGCTTTTAATGCAAACCTTGAAGTGAGTGGCCACAATTTAAACTTCAGAATTTGCTAATCTGAGATGATAAAGCTGACGTTATGGCTCCAGCTGTCAGGTCTTTTAGTGGTAAAAAAAGGAATTAAAAAAAACAACCCTCAAACCTCTACCTTCTGAGAGACAAGGGAGTGGATAAAATGCATCACTTCATTTGAAAAGATCTGTAGGTAAACTGACCAGTTTTCATCCCAACTTCGAAGCATTCCAGAGGTTCAGGGATGCTTCTAATGATGCACAATGTACTTGCAAATCCCACAGTACAACAAGCAGCAGGAACTGGTCTTTCATCAAAGGCAGTAGGGAGAAGAGAACAGTAAGCACTGGGTAATAGAAAAAAAATATTTAAATCGGATAACATTTACTTTGGAGTCATACTTACACCAGAATATCTCCACAGCACCTACTGGGCACATCCCAGGGCAGACTGAATGTGCGAGCGGCAGGAAACGAGGCGCTGTCTTCTGCATCAAACTGTTGCAGCACTAAGGCTATAAAACCAGTAGCAACAACATCCCTATTCAGTCTCTTTTTACTGAAGGTAATTACTAATAATTTTTTTGACACTGAAGCAAAGATTCAAGGCTTCTTTCACCAGACCTGCACCAATGCAGGACCAAAGCTGGTGCTTTGTTCATGAAGCTTTCATCTCTGGAGTTGTCTGAGGCTGATTTTATGTTGAAGTGACAGAAAGCAATAAAAGACAGAGCTGAGGGAATTTTTTTAGGCCCTCGCCTGAGGAATGATCATTGGTATTGCACCTGGCTGCTTCAAGTGTACCTTTGTAACCCCAAATGAATTGCTGCATTCAAGTCGCATTGGAACTCC